TTCAACCCCAGCTCGAAATTCAGGTTTAGAAAATATTTGAATTTCGATCTTCAAGCTGGCTCGAAATTCAAATCCAGCTCGAAATTCGGTTTATTTTTTATTTTATTTTTAATTTCGATCTTCGAGCTGGCTCGAAATTCAACTCCAGCTGGAAATTCGGCTTTTGAAAATTTTGAATTTTGATCTTTGAGCTGGCTCGAAATTCAACTTCAGCTCAAAATTCAGCTTTGGTTTACTTTGAATTTCGATCTTCAAGCTAGCTCGAAATTCAAAGCTAGCTCAATATTCACTATAAACTGAATTTCGATCTTCGATCTTCGAGGAATTTCTCGATACTAAAAGAATATAAGTCGATGGAGGCATTAACTTTTAAATCTAGGAGTAGTTAGCTACGGCAATTCCAAACATCTACACTAAAAAGAGTTTATTTCGTACATGCTATTTAGTTTTGTCTAAGATCTAATTTTATCACACAACTTTTCATTTGACAAAAATGATATAAAGAAATAAAAAAATGTGCCCCAAACTTGGAGATGAGGTGATTTCGATTTTCCCCATAATCAATAGTTTAGGTTTGCTAGCACAATTACAGATAACAACATCAGGAATTTTCCAACAAAGGCTCCCTATATGTTCATAGGCATCTACCTTGTTTTGCGTAAATATACTTTATACTATATATTATAGACAAATACACAGTACAAGTCTACTTACTGTTATCGCAAGAAAGATTGAAATATATAGGTTCCCAAGAAAGGTACAGTGTCGAATTTTAAAATGTCCATACAAAGATTAATCATATTTAACTTGCCAATGTCATATATACATCTTGCACCAAATGGACAGTTAACACGGCATATATGTGTCCTAGAATAGACATTTTCTTCTCTAAATATTGACAACCGTAAAATACATAAATACCCTTTATCAGCTAGGGTGGACCATCAAAAATATTTATACAAAATACCTTTAAGTGCAATGATAAGACTAGATGGCTATTCTTAGAAAGAACATAAAAAACTAAGACTACATGGCCTCGAAATAGGGATACTTGTGCAATTTCAATGAATAATATTAAACATGTTGTGAAGAAGAAGAAATAAATCTGATAAACTCCATTAATGTTCATTGTAACTGTCAAGTAGTCTCAAGAAAATAAAAATTTTCCCGTTGATAAATCAAATCAAGAAAACTCAATTAAGTTTCTATTTCAATCTTTTTTTTTGGTTATCACTAGCGTCGCCTGCTTTCTTTAAGAATCCTGATTAGTAACATCCGATGACTTATCAGCTTCATTATCATCAGACGGTACATTTTCCACAGAAATTTTCCTCCGAATTACCGGGTTGCAAGACTGCCTACATTTTGCCGAGTAATCATGCGTGTTGCAGAAGATGGTGTCGCAAAACATGTAGATGCCCTCATGGTTGCTTGTGTACTCAAAATTGTCGAAGACAAATTTAGTCTCGTGGGAGGATTGTGAAATTATATGCGTGTTTGTGTCAACTTCACACCTGAAGAAATTATATGTATATTGAAGGCCTTTATAAAAATACTTAAAAAAGAACATTAAAGCCCATATGGCTCATTTTGGCGGCGAGGATAAATAAACCAAACGTACGTACACAAAAAATATAAAACAACAAAAACATTTGATGTTGAAACACAATTCTCAAGTGTTCATATTTTCAAAATGTAGAATCTAAAACAATTAATAAAAACGATTTTGAAATATGGATATACCAGTATAACACTTTGTATACATAACGAACTATGGAAGGTTTTATTGGCGGTTACGACAAAAACGCTCTAGTTACTTCCCATGGAATAATAAAATTGGACATAGTACAAGAAATATATGAACATAGAACAGGAAAGACAAGAAGGTAACCTTGATAGAAAAATCTTCATCTAGTTTTAATATAACGATAAGATAAATAGTATAAAAATTTACCCGTTCTTGAGAAGGTAGTATTTTGTATGATCAGGCGCATTGTAGGTTGGTTTAGTGTAACAGGAAACGACTCTCATTCTAGCGTTCCAGTCGTATGTCTCTGTAAAGACCTTGACGTATACTTGTGCCCCTACAGCCACGTGTAATGGACTTGCTGACACCTCTTTCATATAGTTTGGGTCTGCATAGTACGAAATGTTGACCGGGTACTGTGGGCTTGAGAGACTCGGAGAGGGCGAGCTTGTTCCGCTGGCAACATACCCTGAAGTCAAACCACCATAAAATGAAAGAATTTCCATCATCTATTCACTTATCAAAATTTCATATGAATATAAATCGTCAACAGAGCAGAATTTGGGACAACTAAATCATAATCAACTATTTGTCTCTGAATATGGAAGGACAGAAAATGTGCTTTCATAATGAGATTTTTTATTCTAATATAGAAATAGGAATGAAAATATGAAAACATACCATAACCATTTCCGTCACTAGTGACGTCACACTCTACGTTAACAGTCCAGTTGTAATGGCGTATGATGAACGTGTAAACAGGATCATGCTCTGCATATATCAATTCGTTGTTGTATGTATTTCGTCCATGTTGCAACTATATAATGAAATTTGAAAATGAAAAAGATATATTTTTTTCGCTTTTCTAAAATTGATAAGTTTTTCATTGAGTCTAAAGCGGGTTATTTTCATTCTAAATGTGTCAGTGAATACATAAAACATTTTCTTCATGTTTTTGAAATATTAAAGGAGGCCCAAAAGCCTTAAAACATAAAAAATTCTTGCATAGTTTAGCAAGGGCAAAAAAGTCCCAGAAAAATAGACAAAATAGACAAAAGATAAAGACAAATTATATATCAGAAATAAATTAAAAATGGCATTGTTGTTATATTTTTAGCGCAATTTGATTTAAACACTTTTAAAATTTTAGTCATTTTTCACAATTAGATTATTTTTGAAAAAAGACGGAGTTAGTGAATGATCTGAAATTTTGCACACATGTTATTGGTCAAGACCTAAATCAAATGGAACATTAATCTCGAAAAATTCTTATAAGTCCTGTAATGTCAAACAACCTCAGTGGAGTCCCTTTAACAACAGAACAACGTACCCTCCCGCTTGTGAGGCACTCGTCTAAACCCTGTTGAAATGTCAGGTGACCATTCTTCTCTATCCCAGTGCATTTATTTTCTCCAAGATAAATATCTGACCCTTTAGCGTTGGGAAATATCTGTCTTAGTTTATTCATGTCAACCAGTATGTTCCACGTGAATTCATTACAATCCACGTTTATGGCATTTTGAAAATATAGACCTGCAATAGTTGGTAATGTTGTCGTGAGATTTTGAATGATATATCTAACAATATATAATGAAATTAATAAAATTAAGACTGAATAAAAGATGTAAAGGTATAGTTTGCGAGAGAATAAATAAATAAATAAATAAATAAATAAATAAATAATGATAAATAAATAAATAAATAAATAAATAAATAAATAATGATGATGATGATGATAATAATTATAATAATAAAAACAAAAAAACAAACAAACAACAAACAAACAAACACTGTTAAACATGTTATTTTCATACTAAATATGGTCGTCAGTTTGATCAAAGATTTACTTAATTTTTATTTTTACGAGCACATCCATGACTATTCTTCTAATTAAGGTACATATGTATTTTTTCCTTACAGTATAGATCATTATTCTGAAGGTTATCGATGGCATCTGTAGCTTTATACCTTTTATATTTAAAAATAAAACAAAAACAATGACCCCCTCCCCATAATAAACAAACAAACAAACGAAACAAAGCAACACCAACAGCAACAACAGCAAACAACACAACAACAAAAAAACAAACAAACAAAAAACATACCCCCCACGAAGAAAAAATCACCAAAAACCACCGCAAAACAAAACAGTGCCGTTCGTACCATATTAAAATAATCTTATTTGAACTAGCAAATTGTATTTCAGGTTTGTCAGAATATATCTGTAAAATGATATGAAAAATAATGTTTGACAAATAATAAATATTAACACAAAAAGTTAGGGTTATGAGGTGGTGAAACAAATATTTACTATATGTGGTGTAATGTGTCCACCAGTGATATGAGGTAGTTCTCATCCCCCAGGGAAAGGTCGTTCTGTACGTGTATTGTGACATTGTCGTCATTTCATGTCCGAAATAATACGCTGAAAGTAGTAACATTTAGAGTGAAAGATATTGAAAATATTTCACTGAAAGAAAATAAAATAATTTATTGTCAGTATATAATCATATCAGATGGTAAATTATTATTGATTACTATGTACTTGTCTTTTATCTTGTCTTTTATCTTGATTATTGATACCAATTTATTATCATACGGTTTTTAAAGCACATGTTAAAATATATGGTATCATTATCAATTGGGTTGGGGTTAAAGCCGCATTGCCTCTAGATGAACGTAAATATTTCAAGAAAATCAAACTTTAGAAAAATGTACTGATATTTTTAAAAAAGTAAAAAGATTCAAGATTTGAATAATAATTTACATGTTCTGTGCGATAAATGATTGATTTTGCAGTATTTATCTTCATTTTTCTATTGTGTGCCTAACACAGTAAGGGCTTATTTTACATATTTTGATCTCTTTTTGGTAATATTCTCGTGGATTAAAAGCGCCGTTTGTAAAAAGTAAATTACTTTTTTTGTTCACTTCACAATATCTAACTTTTAAATACATTTTCAAAATTTTCATGAAAATTAGCATGAATCTAGAGGCATGTTGCTTTAAAAACTAAATAAACCGTATCATAACAAAACCAACACAGTGCGTTTGCGACGCATCCGCGCAGTCTGATCAGGGCTATCAGAATCTATACTTGTGACAGGGTTTGTAAGCGAACAGCATGAATCCTGATCAGACTGCGCGGATGCGCAAGCTGGTCTGGATCCATGCTGGTCGCAAACGCACTCTGTTATTTTGTCATGACACGTCTCAATTATTCTAGGTATAATCATGTTTTTATGACATTTACCGGAACAATCAACGCCTGCATCTTCAGAGTGACCACAGTCATGCTGGTGCCATGTTCTCGAAATACAGTGTCTGATATCAGACTCGTACCCATAACATCCCAGCTCATCAACTATGATTGGACCGCTTCCTTGACCATAATATGCATTTGAATATGCCACGCCATAGCTGATAATAATATTAAAGACTAGTTCTAAACTCACTCATAAAACAAGTAAGGGAAAAAGAAGGCTTTTCTTCAAATAAATCTTAATTAATCATCATTTCAAAATGTTTTCTGAATTATCTTCTTTAAACAGAAAACCGACTAGTTCATTGGCAATCACTTACAAGTACTAAAAGAAACTGTCTAAATCAAAAACTTTCATCATAGAAAACCGCATTATACAAAAAACAAACAACATCAAATTAAATCGGCTTCAAATAATAGCTTAAGAAACCGACCAATAGAAAAAGAATCTACTGATACCAACAATAATCTATCATCTCAATTTAAACCAAACAAATAAGAGCCAAATCACGACAATACCAACATAGTGGGTTTGCGACCAGCATGGATCCATGCTGTTCGTTATCAGGTTCATACTTGTTAATAGGCGTATCTGTAACGAACAGCATGGATCCTGATTCAGACTGAGCGAATGTGCAGGTTTGGACTGGATCCCTGCGGTCGCAAACATATTATGTTGGGGTTTTGCCGTGACACGGCTCAAATATCTTACTTATCTCCTAAATAATCTTCCCAACATTCTACGATGACCTTGACATCGTTGGTGGATCGAAGTCATCGTCACATTATTACTTCCCCCATTGTCCATTACTATATACCTCAAACTCTTCCGGGTATTTGCCATTTCCACCAAACAAGTCTCACGCTTTGTCACTAATATAGTTATACATAAATTTACCCAATCGTAACAACTCGGGCAATCTTCCGTCAAGTTCGGAGATCGCCGAGGTGTTCCGATGATCAAAAACTACAGTAAAAGGTTGATTGATAAAACGATAACGAAAACGTATATCTTAAACTTTATTCATATAACTACACGTTTACCACATTCTACCGAAGGACGTCTAAAATTAGTGTGACTTCCTATAGAATTTATAGCAGGGAAGAATTGAATATAAGTAGAATTTCCATTGGTCATTTTAAAATTATTTTAATATTACAAATTTTAATCTGGGAATCACATTAGCCATTCTAAAACAAGTAAAATAATTATCTAAGGATTTCTGACATGGTTTACGTGCCTAATTTTTATTTAACCTAAAGGTTGTATAAGATGTCACCACATAAACTTTCCTCTTACGTTTCTCAGACTTTAAAGTTTTTCACTTTCTAGTTGAATTCAAATATTTAACTTTGAAATAAAGATTTCTTTATGAATACAAAAAGAAAAAAAAAACAATATGTTTTTGTTTGCAAGTAATAGCAGAACTGCCAAGTATCCTTTTTAAAGATATTTCTTGTTAATATTGAATTCAACATACCGGTGCTAGGGACCTTTGTTGTTGAAATAACAAATGCTGTCCATGAACATAATTTATCAAACATAGTCCAAAATGTTAAAGGGAAAAAATATAATAAATGACAAAAATCATTGTTTTAAAAATCGCATCTATAAAACCCCTTTCAAAATACCCAAAGGGGTAAACCCAAAACCAATAAGTGAGCCTATAAGTCAATTCAGGTGAAAATTTCATAATACCCTGAAGCGTCCAAGAACGTTGATTTATCCACCATGGATAAGTTGTCGTTCTGCTCATAAGTTGTATGTGCTTAAATCCAAGAACATAAATATAAATGTGAATCATTTTAAAGGCGGTTCGGGGCAGATCAAGATAGCAGAAACGTGTTAAGAAATGCAGCAAAAACATACAGTTAAATAATTTGTGTTTGTTCTAAACTGAATGACAAAAATTTTATAACTATATTGATTGTTAAAACAAGAATTGGGTAATACATTTTTTTGAAAATAAACTTGCTACTAAAAGATTACAGATATTCAATATTCAAAAGAAAGATATAAATTCTGAGCTCAAGGATACAAAAGGTTACATTATTCCTCAGAAACAAAATAAATCTTTTCATTATCACAAAGCGCGAACATGAGGTTTTATAATGTTTATATAATGGCTTACAGCCTGTTAAATCTCACTTGAAGAAAGTAAAGTTGAACACGGAATTATTTGTCATAAAAGTAGTAAAATGTAAACAAAATAGTACATGTGTGTTTGACTTCCATACAAAATACTAAATCATTTTAACCGTACTCATTGCAAAAAGCCACAAAATCAATTGATGGTTAAGATAATTGGCAAATGAATCATTTTTTGGGACAATTCATGGACACCAAAAATAAAAAGCTTATGTGAAATAAAATAAAAACAAAAACAAAATAGTATCTGGCGTAAAATAGGCCTTACTTACCATAACAATCAACGCCGACATCTTCTGTGTGGGTACAATCAGCTGATACCCAACACCATTTGAAGAGCAAAGAAGCCAATATTTTGAACTCATACCCGTTAAATTGCCGGTTATCCAAAACATTTATTGGGCCCAACGCCTTGTTCCCGTAATAGCATTGCCATGTAGACCCCATTTCCTAAACATTTGTTGTTGGGTTTATTAGTTATGTATCAATATTATTCGGTTGGACTAACAATTTTAAAATATATTACAGTATCATAAACATTGGAAAAGGAAACTTTTTCTGTAAAAACTGATTTGATCCTATACAATGATTCTTTTATATATAATACTCATTATATATGGATTTTTATTATAGACATTTTGATTGCCATTAAAATGATCTCCCCACAGAGTTCTAAAATTACTAATAAACGAGATAAAATAAATGAGTCGCGCCATGACAAAACCAACATAGTGCGTTTTGGTCACCTACCCGCTGCCTCGGTAAAGATTAAGCATTTTGCAGACGACCATCGATTCAAGGTGGTCAAAGGTCATTTCACAAACTGTTCCCCCACTGACCATTTTTGAAAACTTTTTTCCCACGACCAAAAATGGAAATTGGGCCCCATTCACAAGGCGGACTCCTGGCCTGAATGAAAATAAAAAAAATGCAAAATTACATTTGAAAAAAAGAAAATTTTTTTGCGTGGAATATCACGTGACAGAAAGAAATTTTTTAAAACTTTTTTTTCCACGACATTCACAGTGCGTTCATTTTGATAACGACGATACTTATGGAAATTTTTGCGTAAAAATTAGGTATAAATCTTTCCCTTTTTCTGACCGTCTTTGTAATTAATTTAAATCGTAATCCAATATTAATCGTGTAACACAAAAATTATCCCCTAAAATTAAATTTTAATATTGGCTTTTAAAAGTTACCCTCTCTTCTCATTCTGTAAATTTTTCTTTTTTTACCAAAAATTGTCAAAATAAATTCTACATAACAAAAAATTTTTGTCACCCACTTTTAGACCAAGGCTTAGATCATTCTTACAGTTTGACCATACTATATTGTTGGTTGTTCAATTTTCATTCTTTGATTTAAAGTTTCTGTAGTTCCAAATACAAAATAGACTAGTGAAATTCAAAACAATTGCTGGCTGCAGGCAAAGTAACTTATGGAATCATAGGTGTTACATGCGGAGGGAGTGTTCTTATATTCTGGTGGCCGCGAAATAAAAAAATAAACGGACAAACAGCAACAAAAGTCAAATCGTGACCACGAGATGATAAAAATGGTTAACTCGTGGCCAAGAGATACTGAAGTAAGTAGTTCTGCATGTCATCCTCGAAAACCAGAAAACATCAGTCTCGCTTTACTACGGAAGCTGTGCGGTGACACGGTGGTACCTAGACCACGTGACATTTTATGATCTGCGTAGGGCAAAAGCCAATACAAAAGATGGTCCAGGGTATATTTTTGCCAAAACATCTTTAATGTTTCATTTATGTTTTGAGATGCGGAGAATGTAGAGCCCGCTCATAGTGAGAAAACCATATAAAATATTTCCTGATTTTTTTGTTTCGTTTTGTGACTCCTTCCGTAGAAATACGGTAAAACATTCCATGTATGTGTTACAAGAATGATAGAGTTATATTCGTTATCTAATCAAAAAATGATACATTTGAAAAGTTACGGAATAAAATAAATTCTGTTCCGTCTATTGTACTCCATGCAGATAATAGGCACGGTATCACCGCTAAGCTTCCGTGGTAAAACGAGACTTATGTGTTCTGGTAAACTTTGTTTCTATATCTATAACTGCATTACCATGACTATAGTCACTTGTTTGTTGTCCATATGGATAGACTGTCGTCTGCCTTCCAAACAATGTATCTGATGTCACCGATTGAAAATACTCCGGCGTCATCGAATCCTCTATTAAATACAAAGAAAATAGATCAAATTAGTAATCTTAAGCAAAAGCATGCTTTACATTTACGATTTTGTGTCGTGATAAATTCATACCACGACCGTTTGCAATCTTACGACCAATCAATATTCTTGTGACTATTCTTTATTATATATATTAGTGATTTTGTACTGTATTAACCCGGTCACAATTATGAAATAAGGCATATTAGAGTATATTTCCTGTGTCCTGTGACTCATGTATGTATTGTAAAATGTTGTAATAAATGCATATCTAAAAATATTAACGCTACAATAATCAGTGCAATTGCTGTGAGAAAGAGCTCTGGTCATTCTGAAGCTGTTCAGTCAATAACAATGTGTGTGCTCATGGTTATCTATATCTTGGCGTGACAAATAGTTTATGTTAAGTCAAGAAGTCATACAATAAGAACTGGTGAGAAATACCTATACAAGTAAGGCAGGTCACACAATTGATGTAATGTACTTGTGCTTTTACGGTCGTTCTTTTTGAACAATAGTGATTTTTTATTTCGTCCTTACCCGCGATGCATGATAGTACGATTTGAAACACGATGGTCGATGATGAAACTCATTGTAACATCGAACTTCACCCATCGTACCATCGGTGTTTCATCATCGTGCCATCGTACTATTGCGTTTTTTTTCCATCGTACATCGTTTTATCGCGGCTAAGGACGAAATAAAAAAATCACGATTGTCCAAACGAATACCGTATGCTTTAAATTTAAAATGGAAAAAATTGGAGATATAGAATACCTGTGCATTACCACCGTTAAATTTGTGTCTCAATGGCAATATCCCCTTGATAACCTGCACCTCTCAGCTCTTATCGCTATCTTCATAAATAAAAGCAGACAAGATTTTAATTAAATAAACACGAATGCATTTGTAACAGCATTAATTTTTGTATTAGGACTACCGCGTATATATTTTTCCTATACCATATGTTTGACCTTGTATGTGCGTCAATGTTGTCATAAGCAATTAATTAGTATCATTGTCGATTTAGTTGTGGTTAAGTCATTCAACCTAGGAATCATGGGTTTTAAGCTCAATTCGGATTAGAACACCATATTTCATCATTCGATAGCAGTTCGAATTAATCCTACGAAGCGAACGCCAATGCTATCACTATGAATTGCAAGAAATTATTTCACATTCCAGCTAAAATATAATAATGTTTAAACTAAATCATCATTAAAAAATGAAATATTACTTTGATTTGTCCACTTCCTGTAATATTGACTAAACCATGATGCCAATCTGGTCCTCGATTATGATCCATCGTCCAAACTAGGTTGCGCCAAGCCGTATTACGATATTCACTGCTGACGGTATAAACATTTAGTCTGCCAACCGACACTCCGTTCATGTTATACCAAAAAGAGAAACATTTAGTTTCCCATTGGTATATGTTAAAATACGGCCCTTCTAGATCGGCACTGTCATTAACTTGTCGAGGACTTGACGCTTCTATGTAAACATACTGTCCGTCTACAACAAATGTACAATTTTATTCACAAAACTGTGATTCTGGTCATTGATTCAAACAAATGAAATCCAAAATAGCTTAAAACTGTAGAAATGTTAATTATACACTAATATTTGGTAGTCCGTACCGAATGATACAGGCCATTTACATGGAATCACTAACTTCTATTAAAATCGGTCCGTTCCTTGCTTTCTTATGTGTTACTTTTCCAATTAGCTGGTACATCGCCACATAACATGGACAATAATTACAAAATTAAGTCATTAAACGCAATCGTTGTTTCGTTTTATAAACATATTCTCTCATATGATAATGATTTTGTTATACATAAATGAATAAAATAATGTTTAAAAATTACAATAGCTAGTGTGATCCCCATCCGGACCTGTCCCCGTTGATGGTGTGTTACGTGAACCTAACGACCAGTCAAAGTCATCACCGGTTCCCTGTCTCCAACCACAAAACCCGTGACTAAATGTACAGTTGTAGTCTATACAAATCAAAAATAAAAACAAGTAAACCATTTACACTTTTATTTAAGTTTATAAATTATATTTGTATATTCATAAAGAAAGAAAATGAGTAATATTAAATAAAATTAAAACAATTTGAATACGTTTTTGCATCAATGTGAAGTAAAAATTATATATTTTATTTTTAGCACATGGCTCCGCTTGTAATTAATGTAATACAAATATTACATATTAAATATTTCATATAATGTTTAAGTTAAATTTTACATATAAAATGGCATTTTAATGTGTTTTGTAGTTTTGTTTTCTGTGTTTTTCGACTTGTACTATATTATGTGATGTAAAGAATGTAACATATTAACGTTTAATAACACTTTCAAAGAATAGTTAGATCAATATATTTTATTCAATTAAAAAACAAACAACAAAAACACAAACAAACAAAAACAACAACAACAACAAAAACAAATGTCTTTTAGCAAAGTTAATATATAAAATTCTCAGAAAAAATAAAAATTACAGCTTAAAAAGCGTTATATATAAAATAATTTTACCCGAACCAGACGACGATCCATATGACGCTGTCTCGTATGAGTCCGTGGCTAAAATTGAATAAAATTCATTATTCTTTTGTGTAAATATCATAATAGCATGTGTCCACTTCGTAAATGCAAGTAAATTTCGCTAAAATGGAGTTTATTTCGTACATTTTCCTATAATGTCCAAAATGATTGTGAGACCGGACAAATTCAATCGTTTTAAACATTTGCTTTGCAGCTTTTCGTCATTTTCATTGCGTGAGAATAAATTTAATTTTATATGACTTTCTGAAACAACTCGATAAGGTCGCAAGAAGTAATTACACCATCTGTCCGATAACAAGCCATGTCACGATGAGTTGTGCAAAATGCGAGGCGTTCGAGATGAAACATTTCTAAACTTGGACAAACGCATATATATCATAATTTTATTGTTGAATCAACTCCTGATAGGTCAAGATATGCCTTTATATACATACATATATATAACTCTTGCATAAATATCGCATACTACATAATAATGATCGTCGGGCCTAAGAATATGATTGATCTCTAAGCACGTCAAATGATTATAGGTTTCACGGAATACTTTTTTATTTTATTCCCTCAATACATTCACCTCAAACATATAAATAAAGTTTCATTCAAATTCATCAAAAGATCCAATCTTTGAAGGCATTTTCAGTCTTTTATGATACAGTATGAAGACATTTGAATATTGCAGAACAAATTTTCCACATGAAAGGTATGTTCAGCAAGACACAATGGGGGCAAATTCGATGAATACGGAGGATTGGAGGGCACATCGACTTTTCTTCTGCATCTGAAAGTCTTGTACTATATACACATTGAGCGATAACGCGTTGTCATGCAACAATCTGACTTTTGCAAAACCTGTTGCGGGTCTTTTTTTTGTTAAGTTTTCGAAGAACTTTTTGTCTTTTGTAAAATTTGGCATGGACATATTTTCTATAGGAACAGGCACCAAAGTGACGGGAACCTGAGTTCTAAAGAAAATGGCATAGTGATACATAACTCTTTTTTATTCTGATGGTCCTTTTAGAATGCATGGTATATTGAAACTTGTAATCCAAATTGCTTTGGTGTTTTCTTTTTGGTTAAAAAATGAACCCATGGTTTGTCACCAGTGACGACATTTGGAAAAGACGGTGCATTGATATTTAGATACTGTTTAAGCAACAACTTAGCTCATTACACGCCCCAAGCCTGTTTTCTGCTCATCTGTCAACAAATGGGGAATCCATCTAGCACAGATCTTTTTCATTTTCAAATCACTTTTGAGAATGATATGAGCTGCTTCTAATTGAGATGCAAAATAAACAAGCTATTTGTCTATTAGTGTATCATGCATCGGCATTTGCTTCTTTCACTTAAGCAACCGTCTTAACAGAATTTACTGTTTTAGATCAACGGGCTTCGGGTGCATCTTCAGTGAAGATTAACCTATATATGAATTTATACCCATATATGAATAACTGATGCAAAATACATTTTATTTTGTCCATATACATAACAGATCTCATCAGAAATGTCTTCACACTCTATAATATAAGACCGTATTTCAATGGCATACTCTGATCTTATGAGTAAAAATGTTAAACTAAATTGAACGGATTTTAATGATTGTGATATTAATATAAACCTAACATGTATATCAACCCGATAACTTTCATTTCCTTGTGTTGTTTTCGCAATATTGAACAACATAACGTTCTAAATGCATTCATATCTAAACACTTTCAGGATTTGAGCGCGGAACTTTTTTTTTCTATTTCTTTTTCCATCTAAACGCTGAATTATTTACGAGCTTGAGAAATCATATGAATATGATTAAATGTACACCGGCTCGTTATTATAAATGCATACAACTACAGCTTATCTAAAGGCGTAAAATGAAACAAACGAACAAACAAAAATAAAGAATAATAAACAGTTTGAGCGTTATTTCTCTGAGGTGAAAAAAATAAGATCACTTACTATATCTCAGTTCAGCAAACCCACACAAGCTTCCTATCAGGAACAAACAAAATACACGACCCTTCATGTTAAATGTTAGACGATAAAATGAAAAACAAGCTGATAATACCCGCAATCTTTATCAAACTAAATCATCATAATCATATCTGTATGAAAACCCATCTATTTATAGACATTAACGTCATCAATTTGAAGATGATGTTTGCTTATTTTGTTGATTTTGATGCGGAACAGCCACTTTCAAGGTCATATGAGGACAACGAATCTTACAATCCATGGGTCCTCTTGTGTCCTATTCGTATTTCAGGAACGGGTCTATGCCTGAGCAATACTTAATCATCCATCCTCCTGTATGCAACTACGTGTTTTCTACTCTAAAAAAAGAATAAGCACATATTTCGGGCTGCTGCATGAACAGTTTATAATACAATAGACAATGTCCAAATTCACAATCAATATGGCTCTCTTGGGCAACCTTTAAGATCTCTACTTGTGGCCCATTGACAATTTAAGTAAACTCGAACTTGTACCCTCTTCAATTTCGTCGACAGCGCAACCTTTAGGGTTTCAAGTTCACAATTATAGTCTTGCGCATGGATCGAGTTGAAATTGTTATTTATTAAAATTCCTAAAGCAGGGTTATTATCTGGACTCGTATGACCACTCCTTATATTTGTTGCCTTAAAAGTCTGGTACATCATTACAACATTTAAGTGTTTATTGATTTACTATTTTATCTTTTTATTTTTGGAATAATATTTAGTTTCTTTTAACTTTATTTTTTTTCAATTTGAGTATTATTGTTTCGACATTGTTTGATCCTAGGACAATATATCTTTCCTTGGTATATATCTATTTACAGCTGTGTATTATTCAGTTAAAGTACCACCCACTATTTTAGATATGCTTTGTATTGTCTCATATGACTACAGCTTTTGTTCGTTTGAAAATTCATTTTACCCAAAATTTAATCAAATCTGAGTTTTGCAAAAATCAAGGCAAGAGGGTCAAAAAATAGCATTCTTGTATGCATGTTGCCGCAAAAACCCCGTAAATTTTGCTCAAACAAAAAATTAGCAAGAATATGATACTAATAAACCCTCGTGATACAATACGTGATCTGTTTAACCACACAAAGGCCGCAGCTTTTTCATTTTTGCCAAGTTTTAATGAATGTTTATAGTTTACATTTTGTACTGGTTTGAACTAAAGGAAAAAGTAATAGTAAACTTATTACGTTTAGATATGAGACTACTAGTTTATGTCGCTTATGATTGTTACATTATCTTTAGGAAATCTACATCCAAATCTCTTCAGTGTTTCTAAACAAACAGTAGTTTTAAGTGCAATCTTTATACAGTACTTACAGATAATAACAAGGCCACATTTAATATAATTCCTTTAATCGGACTTTTATCAGGACACTTTAAGATAAGCTGGATTGTTTCACTGATTTTATTCAAATAAAAGGTGAGGTTGATTGTGATAAAAATGGGTAATTTTTCTGCCTCATCCACACAAGGATATTGTCGTTAAGCAGGATTGAACATATTCGGCCGTATGCAATTCGTTATCAGCAAGCCTTTTGAATAGGTAATCCGTATGCTTTGTCACAGCAAAGTAACATAAATATAATAAATTAGTGACTTGTAATACCCCGTGTAAAAAGTAGGAACATTCTGTCATGATGAATGTCCGTCCGACCGTCTGAACGTCCGTGCGCCAACTCTTCTTTGTCCAATCAATAACTTGAGAATAAATAAGCGTTTGCAAATATTACTTAAAAGATATACATGTTTTTTCTATGACCAGTATTTGTCAAATAGTGATTTTGAAGATTTTAGGTCAAAGGTCAAGCTCGCTGTTGCATTGAAAACTAATAGATTGCTTCACTAATTTCTAGAGAACGCTTTGACTTACATTTCTATGATTTGGTGCGAATATATGTCATAATTAGTAGATGACTCCTTTTGATTTCGAGGTCAGTATGTTAAATGTCATGGTCAAGGTGACCTTGACAACTAAATTCTTGTTTGGCTAATACCTCGAGAATTCTTTTGCTTGTAATTTGCTAAATCACCCACAAGAGAATTCTTTGATTTATAGTCCTAAGATTTGGTGTGGAGGTTGGTCATGGCTAGAAAAAAATCCTATTGATTTAATGGTTATTAAGTCAAACGTCATCGCGGAACTGAAAGCTTGTCCGACCAACAAAACTAAACAATACTATAACATACAGTCCTAAGATCTGGTTAGGAGTTTGTCATGTCAAAAAAAAAGATTCTTTTTGAATTTGAGGTCAGTTGGTCAAATGTTTAAGTCACTGTGACCTTGTACACTGAAAGTTTGTTTGACAAATAACTAGAGACGTCCGTGGCCTTCATTCCTGAAATGGGTGTGGATAAACGATGGCATTTCATTGATTTTGAGGTCATAAGTCAAATGTCACATTGGTGTCTTATCACGGACAAGAGTTCCATTAGTCATAGGCAAATGAACTTATTAGTTATACCAGAAATGTTAATGGACTGACGTTTTTGACATCATTAGTTTGTTATCTGAGATCGTGATTTATTTCAAATCAGCATATATTGTTACCTTCACTTTGTTGCATGTACAATGTTTTGTTGTCCGCGAAATATTTATTGGGCCTTCGTAACACTAATATTATCGTTATTTTAAATATTTTGCATTTATATATCTTATGATTTTTTATTATAATATACGTAAGTATGTATACATAGCGCTTTGACAACCAATTAAATGGGTGCATTTATATTCCTTTAGAATATATTAAGTTTTTTTGTACTTTATTCCCTATAGCTAGTTCTATTTGTTATTTTCGGTCACCTAACATGAAAAAATAAGTTCAAACTATGGGCATTACGTGAATAATCACCCTCTCCAGGAAGATAAACGATCCACAACAAATAAGCAAACCGAACAGGTTGGTTACCAAGATACTGTGTTATTACTAAGCATTGATTTCTGCATGAATAAAAGATTCAGAAATTACCCAGAAACGGTTAAACCAAGTTTACCACGACTGAGTTGTTTTTCAAACACTGTCCAAACGCTGTGATATACCGTTCATTGTTTCAAATGTTACAACCATCGACTTAACAGGTACATGGTAACATTAAATGCAACCGATATGGAGACAATATCGTGCTTTCTGAAATACATTATTTGATGGGGGTTTATATCGTATACGTATATCGTATGATATAATGTACTAGTGACTTTATATTTTATATCTGGAGATTTGGTTGTTTGTTTGTTTGTTTGAGGTCATATGGCGCCGAAACCGGAAAGATGATTTTTGCTAACCTCGTGTGTAACAATCTTCAAAACAACACCATGGGTCAAAATCACCTCACCTGCTGGAGCAAAGAGATGCAAAGACTTCAGTTTTTCAAACAATTTAATCGCTTCTTATGATCACGCAGGGGTAACCGGTGGCTGCATTTCTTATGCCTCAATCATTAAAAGGCAACCCCTCACCCAGCAGGGGGGATTTGATGATAATATATAAAAATAAGCAGATTGCAGCATTTGGACGGACAGAAGACACGTGATGGCCAGTCAGACTCAAATTACCCAAAGGCGATTATTACGTTTTCAGTCTTCATGACATTACAGAATATGTAAGTCAAATAAAAGAGGTGGTAATATAACTTTTTGGGGAAAATCTGCTAATAATTGTTGGCATAGGTGTAAAAAAGCAAATACAGGTATAACAAAAAGTTTTTAATACAATTTATGTCTTATTGATTTAATCAAAGTTATAATGAAATCAAGAAGTTCCAAAAGATTGTCTTGCAAACTGGTGTGATTCTTGTACTTTTCCTTACACCACAGTCGTGTTTTCAATATCATCAACTGCGTTTGATAGTGTTATGTCTTCATTACCCTCATCCCTATTCGCCACTGTTACGTCACCAATATCTACCGGTCCGTGTGCAATTGTTGCGTCGCCATTATTCACCTCTACATTCGCCATTGTAGCGTCACCATTATTAACCTCTACATTCGCCATTGTTACGTCGACATTATTGAACCCTACATTAGCCATTGTGGTTTCATCATCACCCTCTGTCTCCGTACTCGCTACAGTTATGTGTTCTGTCTCGACTTTTGCAACATTAAGTTTTCTACGGAAAACTGGATGGCAGGTCTGCTGACACTGTCCCGAATAATCATGTGATGAACAGAACACAGCGTCACAAAACACGTGTATACCTTCATGGTTGCTAGCGTACTCGAAATCCTCGAACACAAACTTTGTCTCGTGAGAAGACTGTGTTATAAGGTGCGTGTTTGAATCAACCTCACAACTGGAAAAAGACAGACACGTCCATGAGAAATGTTTATCAATATATTTAACAGCAAGAAAAGGTCAAATAAAAACGATAGCATAATGTAATTCAATTTTAGTCAGTCTTGATTGCTCGGGAGTATTATCTAGATGGAATCATTAAGAACTTTTGATAAAAGGAAGTTATCAAAATCCGTAAAATAATGGTCTTGCTGTGCATTTGAGTGACAAATTGGATTTTTTTAGAAAATACCGTTTTAAAATGAAATGTAACAGGACTTACCCATTTCGTATAAGGAAGAATTTCATATAGTCTCCAGCATTCTGTGATGGTTTCGTGTAACACGTGTGAACACGCATCTTCACACTCCAGTCCGGTGTTGTTGTATAAACCTTCACGTATACTTTATCGCCAACCGAAACACGCAGTGGATTACCATAGATTTGTCGCATAAAGTTAGGATCCGAGTAAAATGACATGTTCACTGAGAAATGACTACTTCCGGTCACTTCAGGTAACGCTAAATGGTTGTTATCATGGTGTATGTGAGCTAAAAATATGGCAATATATGTGAATATTCAATGTAACTGACAAGTGGCTTAGTAGGCCGTATGAACTTCACCAGGTTTAGAAAAAAGACATACATTTTAAGACATACGTTCCTTCGCCTACAGCATATAGCAAAGCAAGACTTGCGAAAATATCCTTTATACTATTAACTCATTGTAGCAATATCACGTGACCGTAATGTGATTTTTGGCATCATTTCCGAGACATATATTGCTCGATTCGAAACGGAAATATGGAATCTTTGGGGAACAGGATATTGGATCTCCTTCAGTATATGAGCCGTTTTATTAAACACTTGGAAAAACCTTGAAAGTTTTACTGCTATATATTTGGTACACCACTATCGAAATCCTTCAAACAATCAAAACATTGTTTAAAATTCTAAACAGAACATATCCATTTAATTATGGAAAATAAGGGTAAAAGTAAACGTTATTAAGAAAGAGGTACCTGACGAGCTTTCATTCCTGTCAACATCACATTCAATACCAACTGTCCAGTTATAGTGCCGTATAATAAACTGATAGTTAGGATCCCTTTCAGCATACACCAACTCATTACTGTATACCAAAACGTTACCTCTTATCTGAAACAATACCCAAATAAATATCTATTAAAATGAATATAATTATCATATCAAGTACATATCAAGAACATATTGAACGACATGTTTGAAATAAAAATATAGGAACATGTGACGGCATGTTTGGAATTAAAATATCCAAAATGTATATACAAATGTGCGTGTTTTAAATAATATTTTAATAATACACTTGATGTCATTTTTGAATAAGATCATAAAATATACACTGTATGTGAAATAGCTGGTTTTTGATAGAAATATTTATATATTTAGACCCATTCATAACGTTGTGTTTTGGACAAAACACACGTGACAGCGTGTTTGGAATAGGTACAAACTGTTTCAGATGTAAGACATTCCCGGAGACCCTGCCTGAATGTTACACTACTCCAGCTTTGACTGCCAGTACACGAGTTCTCTCCAAGGTAAATATCTGACGCCCTGGCATTGGGATACAACTCACGGAGACGGTACATGTCCACTCTGATATTCCAGCCATTCTCGTCACAATCCACGTGAATTATCTCGTCCATAGTCGGTGCTATATAGTATTGAATATATTCATATATTCATACATAAATCATATGGTACATGGCACGACACTATATTATATTTTTATAAATTTATTCATATCTATTATACTTTTCTCACATTGGAATTATCAAGAATTTATGGTTGCATGCATAAACATTCTAATGTCAAAAACTGGACATAAGAAAGTCCACCACACAGACGTGACGACATTTAATAAAATTCCATCAATCTCTTCGGACTTCTACCATTGGTAACAAACCATCTGACTTGTTCCATTGCTTATGTCTTTATTCATTGTTCAAAGTGATAAATCTAATTCTGAGCAGTATTTGGGAACATTCGTTTGCTGACACTTTCTTGTGTTCAAAAGTTCTTATTGACACTCTCCCTGTTACTGACACTCGTTGTGTGTTCACAAGTGACACTCTTTATGAATTATCCAGTACTTATCGACACTATTTGTGTGACCACCAGCCAGTGCCAAATGACACCCTAGTGTGATCAACATTGCTTATTGCTACTCTGTGACTTATCCATGCTTAAAAAAACACTCCTTGTGTGTTCATCCATTGCTAATTGACACTTTTTGTGTTCACCAGTGCTAAGTGACATTACATGTAACACTTTTTGTTTGTTCATTAGACTAAGTGCTTATTAACACTCTGAGTGTCCACCAGTGTTATCAACACTCTTTCTGTGTCGAATACCCCTGTGTGTTCTGCATTGCTTATTGATAATGTGCGACTTACCTATGCTTATTGACAATCTTTGTGTTCATTAGTGCTTGTATTGTCACTCTTTGTGGTCATTAGTACTTATATTGACACTCTTTGTGTTCATTAGTACTTATATTGCAACTTTGTTTGCTCATTAGTGCTTATATTGACACTCTTTGTGTGTTCTTCAGTGCTGATTGACGCCCTTTTTGTTATTGATATTATTTGTGTGTTCATCAGAGCTTAATGGCACTCTTTTTGTACAATCAAAGTCTTATTATCAGTAATGAAAATGAACTTTAAAGCGATCAGTTAACTAGTAAGTTATAAAAAAGTATTCACAATCGTTCGAAATGTCAACTACATGTATAAAAGATCAAGTATCTTACACCGCATTATTGTTCTTTCCGTTGTTTGGTGGTACCACCAGGGTAGATTTGTTGTATCTGTATTGAAATATTAACAATAACAAATGTTTAATAAATGAAAAATATTCATTCATTGATTAATTCCTTGATTAATTCATTATTTATTTAATTAATTGGTTCGTTCGTTCGTTCGTTCATTTATTCATTCATTCATATATCTCTTGTCTCGAGTAGAATTATGTGGAGAGATTATAAACCTATTTAAGAAGGTATTCATTTAACACTGATTGAAAGGAAACATATTACTTCGTATATGTGGTATGTATTTGGAAATGAAAATCTAAAATCTGAACATCTATAAAGATATTTAAGTTTTATCAAGATCACAAGAAAAATCTATATTTATTATACATGTAATTTTAGGTGCATGTTCCATATTCATACGTTGATCATATTTGAATGAAAATATTCCAGTGATGTGAAATCACAATGAGAGTAATAGCATAAAAATTATGTATTGTATGAAAACATTGTGTGTCAACACCATTCAAGTTTAAACTGAGATAAACATACAATAGCCATAGCAATTGACACCGACATCTTCACTATGTGAACAATCATGGGAGTACCATGGTTGGGAGTTACACTGTGACAAGCCCCATTCATAGCCGGTACAATCGAGATTATCAATTGTTATAGGCCCATTTCCAGCACCGAAATGTGCCGAATTATATACAGTGTAGTGTCTGAAAAATAGATTAAAGATTTGATATAGCAGCATTTTTGAAAAAGTGATAATATTTAAGGGTGATTTTGCGATAACTTTAATTTGTTATGTGCAATGAATTGCTTCCTGAAAAAACAAAAACAAAAACAAAACAAAAAACAACTTCGAATTCTCTTGTTTGAACTAATTTGTGCGGTTTCCTTTATGTAAGTGATTTGTTATATCATGCTGGTAGTGTAAATAAGCTTTCACGACATGATATGGAAGAACAGGTATTATTTACGACAACGTTGAGAGTAAACACTTTCTAAAATATGATAAACAAGATCAACAAGAAAAGGCAGCGTTCAATGAACGCAACCCCCATATGAACCAGCAACAAGAACCAGTGGCAAGGAGCCCAGGCGGAAAAGACTAAAAAAACCGTTTACTTTATTTATAAAATATATAATGTACTTATGAATTGTTTCGATTTTAATGCAATTTTATTTTAAATGTATTAAAGTTATATTATTGTATTTAAATCATTCTACCCATAATTCATGCCAAGAACACGGCAAACAACCCTGGCGTCATTATTATTGAAATTGTCGTCGCAGATAGTACCCCAGCGTCCATTATAAAAAACCTCCACACGTCCGGAATATCTGTCATATCCATTTACAAGACGTATTGCCCCCTCTGACAAAATAGAATATTTTTAACACAATAAGTTAGGTTATATAATATTTTATGCATATTTTTGTACTTATCTAACATCATTATCTTAAGCATAAATACAAAATAAATACAAAGGGTTGGACCAAATGTTATACCAAAATTATCTAGGATCCTCCCCTAAAGGTCTATCTTTTTGGTTTAATAGTAACATAGTAAGTGTAGAGTTTCTAAATTCTAAGATACATAAAAGTAGGCGGTATAAGTTTAATATGTTAGAAACACAATAATTAACTACATACATTTTTGTAATACATTAAAAGATACAACTGAATCTAAACATTCTTGTTAAAAATATTTTTATATCGAATGACAAATTTCTTAAAAAAAGACAAGACACATTTCTTGAATTGAAGAAGCAAAGGAAGAAATGTGTCTATGTAAGTGTAATTATATTCATTAAAACTATATAAACTCGTCCTATTTCGACAAACGAATGTCTTCTGTATCAGTTCAGAAAGTTTCTACTTGTAATTCCTGTCTCAGCCTATGTCGCCTTGTGGTTTTGGGAAGATTGATTGTATTCTTTTATTTAGCAGGGACCTATAATTTTGACGGTTTTCTTGTTCATATAAGCTTAATTCTATGTTAAAGGCACACTCTGCCTCAGAATTAGTATTCATTTTTCATTAAAAAACAAAACAACAACATTTTTGTATCTTGTTATAGTTTCAAATAAATACCAATTTGTCACATAGATTAACCATCTTTAACATCTTTTGTTCTGTTGGCAATGAGTATTATAATCATGGTGCAGGAGTATTTTGTACGTAAGTCAAAATACTACTTAGTTTATATTTTGCTACCTTTTCGACACATAACTGCATAGTCAGCGCAACTTTCTGCAGTTGTATAACATCTAGTATGTTCTAAAACTATTATAAAAACATTATTAAACACAAGTTTGACATTTCTAAAGAATTGAAAAAAATATTGATTTCTATGGCATAATGTGCTTTTAACGCAATGGGGGCTTAGTTGGCGAGAGGTTAAGATGAAACACATTTGCACCATAATGCTTTAAAGTTTAATCCCACGACACCTTCGTTTGAATCCCACAACAATATTAACAATAGACGGTCATTAAAAAAAGTTTTTTTAACGAAAAAAATGATCATCTCATTATTTAAATATCTTTGTCGTGCGATTCATTATCATTTGTAAAAATGTTACAGTCACAAAGAACAATCAAAACACCGTGATGGATATATGTGACCTACCGTAATTACCGCTGCTCACCATTACGTTATAACTTCCAGTGGTGTATAGATCATATCTATATGCTGAAATATAAAACCAATGTTAAATAATTACAATATTAGAATACAATGTACTATCAATATTCAGATTACGATGCATTCTGGTATTTTTCGCTTTAACATATTTGCAGAAATTATATTTTAGATGTCTGATACCAACACATTAAAATGCGAAAACATGAGGATTAGATGCCCATAGCCGATTAAAGTTTGCCTTACAGTCCGAATCTCGCAAGAAATAATTCATCATTTCTTATTGGAAATGACGTTGTCGGTTGCTCTCAAGTCAGATACTCATTCATGCCTAAAAAGGAGGTATCTCTTGGACAGATTTGTTGTAATTGCTATATTTACATGAAAAGATATTTTTATGGCAGAATGAAACTATTTTAATCTTTCTATCACTAAAGAAGTATTCTGAACGAACTTGTAAATCGTTCCTTTAGTTCTTCGAAAACAAAAACAACAACAAAACACACACACGCACACACGCACCCACGCACACACAAAACAAAAAACAACAACAACACTTTCTTTGAAATGAAATATCGCGTAAAGAATGCAGAAATGTGAAGAAAAACGCTGATATCATGTTGATTAGATTACCAAAGCAACATATAAAACAGTATCTGTATTATTTCTTGAATAAGTCCCACCTACCGTAACAATCCACCCCTACATCTCTGCTGTGGTCACATCCATTTGAAAGCCAGGTTTTAGACGCACACTTAGAAATATGATTTTCATAACCATTGCATTGTAAATCTTCAATAACCACATTCCCTTCACCGTCACCAAAATGTGCCCCATAATATGCAACGCCATAGCTGTCAAAAATATTCATAGACTTGAGTTTTTTTATAACGCTAGGAATGTAATATACAAGACCTTCCTTTGTTTGAAACCTGAGTGGTGTAGGTCCTTGAAATGATATTAATTTTGTTCTATGAACCTTACTACTTAGAAAATAGCTATTTTGATTCAATTAACAGAACCGCTAACTGTACATTATAAAAATTTATTGTTTATACATTTGTTTACCTGCTTCCCTGGTACAGGCCAAGACTTCGACAAATGACTTGTACATCATCGTGATCGAAACTCGAGTCACAGATCGTCCCCCATTCACCTTTATAATTGACCTCTACGCGTCCTGAATGACCATTTCCATTCACCAGTCTGATACTGGATTCTTCAAAAAGTAACAAATAAAGCTAATCTGTTTACTGGGCAAGTTTGTTTAATAGTAGGCTTTATTCAACATTAACAAAGATATATATAAAAAAAGAAACTCCCTCAGTTTAAGTGACGATATACATGGAAAAAAAAGGGTTAAACTATTTTTACTTGCATTCCTAAGTATTTCAATGTGTTTGTGTTGTGTTTGTAAAATGTTATTGCTCTACATTCATTGAAAACTGACGAGACGGTGAATTTAAATGTCAAACATCAATTACTGGTTATGCCACCTTGAGCATGGGATACTGCCGGACATCGTTCGTACATAGAACCGACAAATGTGTTGATTTCGGACTGTGGAATGTTATTCCACTCATGGATTAGGACTTTTTAAGTTTATTGATGAGCGACGGTGGAATATGGCGACGTTTAACACGCTGGTCCAAATTATCCCACATGTGTTCAGTGTGATCAGATCTGGACTATTCGCGGGCCAATCATTAATGATTGCAAAATTATATGTCTGTGAAAATTAACATTATATCTTGCTGTTTGACTTGTTGCATGATTCTTTTGAAACACAGTAATATTAGCAGTATTTTAATATTGTGGCGTGCCTTGCAAGAATCACATCTCGGTAGCGTTGAGCATTCAAACTCCCATCGATCACAACGACCAAGACCAAAACGAGACCTCCGCTATAAAAACGGTCTTGTTCATTACACAACAGTCGACATAACGTTCATTTCTTCAACGGTTAACACGAACATCTGCGATGGTGTGTTCGTGCCCAATTAACACGATTGGCGCGGTGACGTCGCGTCAATACATTGTCAACGTAAGAATGACATCGACGTAGACTTTCCTCGCGCAGACATGTGCTTGCAGTTTGGGCAGATATTCAGTTATTAACAATTTGAAAACGATTGCGTGGTTGTTTGTTCACGACACACAAACGTTCACAACGTGGTAAATCTACTGTATTCCCTGTTGCATTCAATGTTGCAATTAGAACTACATACAACCCTAGGAACCTGATTCGTTGCTATACCATCATTAAGCATTCCAGTAGCTGGTTCATGAAAATTTGGATGTTTTTATCGTCTTTTTCTTATTGACAACAATTTCTATAAAACCAGACTGAAAGGTTTGATACTATATTGGTTCGTATTCACACAAGAAAATCGTTTAACGTTTTGTTGTTGTGTTAATCGGACAACTGAGTTTTAAGTAATTTTATTTGACACATAATCGTTTGCCCGGACATACGTAAGGCATTGGACATGTTGATTTTTTTTAAATTATATTAAAATATATAGAAAAATAGGGAGTTTCTTGTTTGTTCAATATAATTATGGAAATTTCAAATAGATATGTCTCATTTCGGACATTCATTGACAAAATAAGGATGTACCTGTTTGTAGAGTCGAGAGAAAATATGACTGTGTGTAGGATCCGCTGTCTGAAAAAAAAGCACGAAACTCTTGACTAAATATTGTATTATTTTGTTTGTTTGGTATATGTTTTATATAAATTGTATATAAATTGTAAACATAAGAACATGTTTTACTATGCATTTATTTGTCAATATTTTGTGGCTATTTTATGGAATAGAATTTGCTTAGGTTACCTGGCAGACGAAATTTAAAGGCGGAACAGAAATAAAAAATATACAAAAATAAGACAGACTTCATCAGGTCTAATGAGTCTTATCTTTTAAAATTGCAGACGACTTACATGGTTGAGTATTTAGATTTTTAAAAACTTACACGAACAATCAACTCCTGCTTCACGTCCAGAACTGCAATATGAATAGGTCCTGTATGACGGACATTCCGAGATGTCATTCTCGTATCCACGACAATTAAACACTTGTGACATCATATCAGCATGACCTCTTGGATACTTGTTGTACACATATGTATAATACCTTGAAAATAATACCTTGTGAAAGATCAATCAATCAATCAATCAATCAATCAATCAATCAATCAATCAATCAAATTAAAGATATAAACATACTCGTAAGACCTTAAAGGGACGTAGGAGTTTCACAAAAGTAATCAAAATGTACAGTATGTTAGACAATACTTGATACATATTTAAAAGGATAAATCTTCTCCTATAGTAATGTCATGAAAGGTATCAATTATAGTTAAAAGAATGTTTTTGTCGTGCGTAATAATGCATATTGTGCTCATCTTAAAAAGCAGTTAAGGTTCTTACACTATAAAACTGTTTACAGTGTCTTCATATAATATAATTACGTAAAAAACAGCAAAAATACAACCCCCCCCCCCCGAAAAAAAAACCATAAAACAAACAAACAAAAAACAACAAACAAGCATAACCAAACAGCGCGGTAGAAGGCGAATCGAACGAATAACATTCAGAATATATTTTCGTCCATCATGTACACGGAGTATACATATCACCCAATTTTGTCACGGGGAGAAATGTACATCTTTGTCAGCTAATTGTGCGAGTTATAATATTCAAACTATAAGGCTCCTAAATAACTTACCCATTATTATATCCAAGCATTCTACAAACAGTCCTGGCATCACTTGTATAAAAGTAGTCGGCACAAACAGTTTGCCATCCCATGGTTTCATTAGTGTATACCTCTAGACGTCCAGCTTGATATACATTGTTGCCTGCGTCCATCAGCCGAACTGTGTCTATACCAGTCATATAGTAATACAAATATATAACATTACATATCTCTTAAGAAAAATGGTAGATAGCGATTAACACAATGTTAGATGCAACAGTTTTGCTTTATAAAAGAAAGTTGTCAATGGTATTTTATTCCGATGGATTTTATTCCTGTGCGTTCATTGAACGCCGCCTTTCCTTGTTGATCATGTTAACATATTTTTTGGCATAAACTAGGACCGATACATTAGATACATTAACACAACTCTGCAGATAAAAACGAAAATATCTTTTTTTCATCCTCATGGTTATTTTTCAATCATTCTAATCAGCGAAGAACAATTGGATGAACGATGATTTTCATTGTACAATAGCGATATATACATTTATATTACCTATAAGCACGGCCTTTGCAAATCTATTAATTCATATTTATTTTCGTCCGTCATAGAAACCAACTTAGCGATATTCTGAATTTGTTATAAAGGCTGTTGGGAAGTTTATAAACGGTTGTTAACTATTCTGTTAACTGCCCTGTCTGGCAGAAAGAAGCTCTTTTACACAAACTGCATCTGCCATATGACTGGTCAAAAGTCTTTATAGTGCATGTTTTTATGTATATATACATATAAAGTATCTTACTGCAGTCTAGGTCGACGATATATGAAGACGGACATCTAGAATATCCTCCCCATCTACCAGACAAACATTGTGACAGATCATCCTCTTTTCCTGTGCATGATAAATCCCTTACGTTGTAAGAGTATCCGCTATGATACCTTCGTGTTATAGTACCAGCTCTGAAATACATGTATATAACTTGCTCACTGTGTTGTGCAATGGCTTTTGCTAAGAACTTTGTTTTATTTCACCAATTACGTACGCCTGCATTACCTCAACTTTAAACTATAATGATTCAGCTAGCATAAATTCAAAAAAACTACATTGTGTTTTAATGTGTTCTTTTTATTACCTTAGCCCCTAGACGTCAAACCGCCAGTCTTGAAACATAGACTTCATTGGTCGCATTCAATTTATAAAGTTTATGCAATTCTTGTATCATGGTTTGGGGATCTTTCTGTTGAAAATGTGGCAGAGTTAAATCGTATACATATACATGCACAATACGTTAACTTGAGTGCAGGTATTAGTTACCCGCACCCCTGAGCATGCCCATTGATTGGCTCTTTTTTGCTGGGGTTAACTTATTGTGACGGCAGAGAAAGGAAAGCGATAGAAATATCGTATTCAGATGCTCGTCCATTGGTAACTTTTTTTCTCGGGTTTTATATTGTGACAACAGGGAACGTGTTTTTATGTTTGACTATGATACAAAAGAGAAAGAACATCAAAACACTCCGCAATCTGATTAATACTCGGGGACATCGCTCCATCGTACAAATCGTTGCTCGTATTTCGATGCTCTTTCTATTACATATATGCATGTACGAGTACAGTCATTAACAGGTTTGTTCAGCTTATCACAAAATGTGAACATCCAAATCCAATAGTACACAGGCTCTTTCTCCACGGCTTTTTCCACTATAAATCTGATTGTTAATACTATCCGGACAGACCTTGATAAGTTGTTCTTTGTCATTCTCTTCTTTTTTCATTATCTTCTATGCTTTGGCATGATTTTGTGTATAAATCAGATTGCAATAAAATGGTAAGAAGCAATTTAATGTCAAAGTCTTATTATTTTTTATTTCAACAGTCAAATATTTTTTTTAAAACAAGATTTGTTAATTTGGCAAGTTAAATTATGCTTTAAATCATCAACTTACACATCTGTACCATTAATCATTTTACAGGCAACACGAGCTTCATTTGGACCGAATCCGTCGTAACAAATATCCGTCCATATTCTATGATAGTCCACTTGAAGTTGACCATGCTGTGAATTCGGTCCATTGATAAACCGAATGTCTGTATCTGAAAACAATTCATCTTGAGCTAAACCACCTTTGTGTTAAGATAAAGACAGAATCGCTAAAGAAAGCCCAACACGACAAAATTGAAATTTTGCAGGTTCGGTTTGAGCCTGTTCAGTGACAGAAGAGGTAATTGCAAGCTACCGTCCGCGCCCCATAGCACCGGCTTTATTAGAATTCAACACGAACTAGTTAACATTTTGAATTCTGAAACATTCGCAGATGTATTCATTTGGCGGTCATCACTTTAAACACTTTTGAAATATGTTTTAATAAACTATTTTCTTTTATAATGTACTTTAGTGTTTGTTTTCTGAATGTTGTTTATATCAGTCTATCTACATTGTAGGCTTGACGGTACTTATATCAAACACAGTAGACCTAGTTGAGAAGAAAAAGCGTCACGCGGTTCGGTAGGGAATCACATGAATGTTGCACTTAACAATAAATGCAAAAATGATAAAATACAAAAACACAGATACACACGCTTTATAACAAAATATCACCTGGACTTGCCACCCTACCACACAGTTCAAATTATAACCCTATTGACAATAGTTGTAGAAGTTGATGAACAATGAACATTGACTCTTCAGATGATGTCAGACTTGAATACATCCCATCAGATAACGTAAAGAAAATTAAGGCATAAATATTTACAAGTTAAACATAGTTCACAAACTTTCATTGCTTATTTTTTAAACAAGTATATAGAAATTGAAATAGATATTACTTTACTACTATTATGATGTACTTTATTGATCAGGTGTTTCGAAATTAGAGGTATGTCTTTATTCCTGACAATTCGAAGCGTGCAATATCAATCAACAGTACAACCAAATCAAATATGGATTACAAAAGTTATATTACCACCGCATTCCACCTGGACGTGATAATATGTACTGCAGTAACCTTCATATATGTTACACTGACTGAGATCTTCTTCTTCTCCCCCGCAGTTAACTATTAAACTGGGGACTCTTATTTGGTATCTGTGTCTGTCATATGAAGCGTTTCTGAAACATCCAGAATAAAAAGAAAACAAAATCTGTATTTCATATCAGACAGAACAGAACATAAAGCCGTCTTTCGAAGATTATAAATAATTCGAATGTATATTTAATAAAAAGTCATTTTTCATATGATAACGAATGAGGCTAATGCATGTTTTGTTCTCATTATATACCTGGAACTTAATCCCAATGTTCTACAGATAACGTCTGCTTCATTAGTATCAAAGTTGTTATTACAAACATATTCCCATCTGCCGTTATAAAATATTTGAACAAGCCCCCTATTATCTAGGAATACTGATGTGCCTGAAAAAAATCATACATTGTAAAGAAATGTAAGGGATTTTTTGTTACATTAGCATTGATACAATGAAGCTATTATAAAATGAAACATAATCATGAGGTCACTATTGGCATCGATAATGAACGCTCAACACTAAAGTAAGCATAACCAATTGCCGAACCTGTCAAAAAGTTAATTGAAATATAAGAACAAAGGTTTGAAAGGTCAGAAACAAAGTAGTAAATCAGATTTAATTTTTAAACATCCTCAAACAATAACTAACCTTTTCATTTTAAAGACGATTTTCTGTCAAGTTGTTGTTCTTTCATCGCTTGGTTTTGAATATTTTACATTGATTTTTTAGTACAGAAGGAACATTTGCAGTTGATATGCTAGTCCAATGTCATATAAAATTTGAATGCTTTGCTAATATATCTTTTTATAACAACAATTCACTCATATATCTTACTAATTGTTTTATTGACATATGGTTTGTGTGCGGCTATGACGCCGGGGGAGGTGGTGGTGTCGAGGTTGGGGTTGGGGGAAGAATGTAGCCTTTTATTTGATACCATTTACAAAACAAAACATTTAAAATCACATTTTATTAATTTAACAAATAAAAACAAAAAAAACAAATATTCACAAAATATACTTGAAATTGGTCGCGCTAGTAATAATGATATTAGCAACAGCTCTTCCTATAAAGTTAAAGTTAATATCATATTCATTCCGGTACTTCTTATGCAATGTATTTCTTATTACTTAATTCAAATGCTAATAGGGACTTTTTAAACAAATTCCAAATTGTAAGTAAGTTAACTTTCAAACTATTAATGTCCTCATTCTTGATTATTTGTTTACAACAATTTATCAACGCTTCAGGGGTTCGGTAGTCGGCAGTTTTTGACGAATTATTTCTCTTTTTTCTCTCTATTTTGTTTTTTGTTTGTTTTTTGTGTGCAAAAATTGTTTAATTCTAATTTTATTCATACAATGAACGAATGAAAATCTTTATTTCTCACAAATATCCTCTGCAACAGTTTTTTTTTATCATTTTCATCTAGCCCCCTAATATCTTTAAACAATAGTCGGAGTTATACAAATAAGAGCGTTTGAAAAATGCACTACTTTTACAAATAATATATTTTGATATTTTAAGGCAAGATTCAAAAGGCCCGACTAATGACATGTATTTAGATGTATCATTGTTTCTTAACTGTACTTTTGTTCGGATATTGGAACAATGAAGGTAAAACAATTACCATCAATTTAATATTAATGAATAGAAATTAGATAAATAAGTGATTACTTACTGCAGCTTACACCGACATTTTGATAATTATAATTACAAGATTGACCACTTTTCCATTTTTCAGACTTGCAGAAAAATATGTCATTTTCTGTACCGTTACATTGGAGGTGTGTGATAATGAGAGGTCCTTGACTCCGTCCGTAGTAATTATTGCCATGCCATATAGCGTAGCTGAAAATGATAAAAATAATTACTTTGGTTCCAACAATTATTTTAAAAAGTATTATTGATTGTATTTCTTTGAAAGTTTCGGTTTTCGGTTACACGTAAATATAACATGAATAACTTATTCAATTACTCATTACAAACTTATATGACCACTCGCCCCTCACCGCTGTGGTTTCGAATACCGACAGGGACTTTGGATTCTTTCATGTGAGGAAGGTATCCAGCTAGCTTACGGAACGTCGGTGATTCTACTCAGGTGCCCGTTCGTGCCTGAAATAATGTAGGAAGGAAACATGAGGGCCTCCTCCACTAGTAAAGCTAGAACGTCGCCACATGACATATACGGTGTCGGTGTGACGTGAAACCCAACCAAACAAACAAACAAACAAACATACTTAAACGTGCTAAATGTATCAAATAAGCCGAGCCATCAAGAATATTCCTTTAACATGACAAATGCGAAACTGCGTAATAACCCTAAATATATCAAATGTTTGTAACTTATGGTTTCAAATATATACTCTAAAAAACTCTATATTTGAACAGCTTGTTTGTTTGTTTGTTTATTTTACGCCTTTTTCCAACAGTATTTCAGTCATATAGGCGGGTTGTTTCCTAACCATCGTTCCTGGAGAGTTACACCAGTACTATACTACCTTCCTCCGCGCTAAACTACCAAAGCATCTCCCGGGGATCGAACCCACGCCAGAGAGGTACCTGAATTAGAAGTCATAGACTCTAACCCCTCGACCACGGAGGCGGTATTTGAACAGCTAACATACATACACATAATAACATGAAGCTAGGTATAAGTAATAAACTAAATAAATGTTAGTCCTGTACGTCAAAACATGATATAATGTGGAACTTATTCATTACATATCAACCGTGTTGCGACGAGAACAGTTACGAAGGGCACTGATTAGACAACAAATGTACTGGAAAGGCACACGCGATTATTAATACTTCAACCGCTTTTAAAAAAGAAAATAAATCTGTTCTTACAATAGTCTTATTGTTGTGTTCCGAATCATTCCACAAACGACGTCTGCGTCATCTTGGTCAAAGCCAGAACCACATACACTTCCCCATTCACCTTTATAGTACACCTCTAGTCTCCCGGCGTGACGATGCGGGCCATCAACTAACCTTACAGGGGTCACTGTAAACATTGATGACATTAAAATATAATAATATTATGTTATACAAGTTAAAAAGGGAAGGCAAAATTGCATTCAAAACTATGTGCTGCCAGTGCTATGTCCTGCTCGTTCAGTGGCCACATCATCTACTTAAAAACATGTTATTTAACCACCCAATCCACAACAAATTTCACAAGTATCAGTAACACAGCAAAATATCTCAGTATGAAATGCATTTTTGTGCACCTGAAGGAAAGGCCAAATATATTCAATACATTCTTTAGACAAATATTTGAACGTTTAAACAATACCTTTTAAGGCCATTATCTTATCTCATTTGAACATATTTAGGATGCTATTTAATTAAGGCGTGTTACATCTTATATTTCACCTGGTACAAAATCAATGCCAAATTGATACACGCATTCCACCAGAAATGGAACATATTGTGTCCAGTTCAATCAATTAGAGTAAGTGTTTGGAATGATTTTATAATAATGTTCTTATAGCAGCTTGTACAACATATAATTTAATCTTATATAATTTTGTATGAGGTACATTGTTTTATGAGATCATGATTCGGATGAGACTATCAATTTCAGCCCTGTTGCCACTTGTAGCACATTATCAAGAACAGCGCTCACAAGTGTCTGTTTTGATTGGTAATTCCCTTTAAATCAAGAACAAAATTTCATAACTCTAAATGTGTTCTGTCTTGTAATTACAAGACGATTTACATGAAACTTTATTGTATTCGTATAACTCACAAAATTATATTGGTGCCACAAAATCATCATATGCAAAATACTTCCGCCACAGAAACAAGAACTGTCTACTTTTTTCCTTACGAATAATAGAGATATAGAAATGACCTTTAACAAATATAAAGCCAATTCACAAATCAATCCTGATAAATGTCTTTAAGATGAAATGAATATAATGCCATTAAATGCTAGGATAAATCCTTTGCATAATGTCTAGAAAAAAGGATTTGATCTAGATATGTGTTTACAATCAACCACTAACAGTTCACTGTCTCGTAAAACATCATTTTGAAGTATGAAAGTATGATTAAGAGTGGTAGTACATACTACAGAAATATTGATAATCAATGATAATTAGTGAAGTTATATATACTGAAGAATGTTTAATACAAAGTTTCTTTTCCGATTATTGATAATATATTTGGAGAAACTTTGCGAGATTTGGGTCTATAGCTATACAGTGACAAATACTTAATGGTTCGGTGTCACTGATAATGTTCACATTGAAAAAAAAACAAAAAACATTGTTCAATTTAGAAAACATAAAATTTACTTACCTGCAGAACAAAATGATATGTAACAAACACCAATGACGCCAACCAGAACGATTGTATACTTCATTTTTTATAGGAGAACTACGTGCGTTGCATCCTCCCCCTTTTTGACAAAACGGAAATAAGATAAAACGTTGCTGTAATCTCGATAATAAATTTGAGTCATGTATGTAATACATGATAACCGGAGTGTTTATCATTTTAAGATTAAATCTATACATAATTTACATACACCACATTTCCTACATATATATGTGTATATATATATACATATACATGTAACAAATATACTCGCAATCATTTATTTACTTTACTGTTCAATTTAGCGACGATTCAGCTTTAAGCACATGGATATAAAAAGTGCCTTGTTCTTTTCTAAGATGATAGCATAAAACTTTATTGGGACATTCCTATTGTAGTAAAATGAACTGATTTGTGTATGTTGTGACATAAAAAAAATGATGAATTATTGATGTGGCTATACTGGCTCTCATATACTCTTAACGATATACTTTTCATTTATATCTATATTAAAATCTTTATTAAATCAATCTAAAATTATAAAAAAAATCAATAGTTTTATCGTGTCCGTTTGACACATAAAATTTTGAAAACTATGCTGTTGATGAAAATTTTTTACTGACTTTTTGAGTATCTGAATAGTTTTCTGAAATCCAAAAATCTAAAAATCAAATTGAAAGGACATTCGTAGCAGTTAGTTTACTGTTAGACTAAAACATGACTTTAATTACTGTAAATTTACAATTATATATAAAAATATTTAACCTTTTTCTATGTTGATTCCGACAATGCAGAATTTTTACATCAGTATACAAACAGGTTTTTTGTTAAGTATTGTATCACTGTTATAACCTTTGTTTAATGTTTTGTTATATGTATTCCATAGGTGCTGGAGTCTTCAATAAAGTGTAGTGAACTCTAAGTGTTATTCAGTTTTATATGGCAACAGAGTATATCTATGAATATCCTGTATTCATCCATCCAGTGACTAATGTGACAGTGATATATGTAATGACAAGTGTAGTGTGTTGAAGTATGCGGTAACTAACATTATTAGCGTAGAGTCCAGTGTATTGAAATCAGTGTATAAGAATAGCGTTAGTTACAAAGTTCCTGACCAGTTTTCACAGTGAATAAACTTTACAGTCGATGGGTTGATGAAGTGAAAGCATGGGAAGTGCTGACTGTCCTCGAAGCTAAAAAGAGGGGAATAGGTATAGCGTTATCATTGCCCGAAGAAGGACAGAATTCTATCAGGGACAAAGAGTTAAGTGAACTGACAGTTGATGTGTTGATGGTGTAGTCAAACTTACTGCGTTCATTGACAAACTATTCTAAAATGATGAACCAAGTAAAGCGTATGAAGTACACCATGAATTTGATCGTTTTCGACAACGTAAAGTGTCATCAATGGAAATTAATGTGACTGATTTGGAGAAACATTAAAATAAGACTAAGAAATTTCACATGGAACTGCCTCAGTCTGTATTAGCGTTCAAACTTCTTGGGTGCTCTGAGTTAGAAATGAAGGAAAGACAACTTGTGTTGACAGGTGTAAACTATGCCAACTGGTGTTTATGACATTTTCAAACAGATGTCTACTTATCTCAAAAGTTTTCTGGGCAACGAGTTGCGTGGGGTCGTGAGATGGAAAGTGTCTCAGGAATCAAAGTGGAGTCTGCATATATCTCTACAGAAGAGGCAAACTACACCAGCGTATCGACTTGTGTTTGGTGCTAATCCAAATTTTTCTGCAGTTCTTACAAACAAGCCACCAGCTCTTTAGACTACCATAAGTCGAAAGTTTGCTGAACATTTAAATGCACTTCACTCAGGAAGGCGTGCATTAATTCAAACCAAATCTTCTGAAAGAATCTGAAAGGCACGGAGGTACAAAATCAGGGCATCTGGAGAATGCTATCAGCATGGAGACCGGGTGTACTACAAGCGTGATGATGACAACAAATGGCAGGGGCCAGCATATAGGTCCACAGGATATAGGACACAGTCATAGGTCAGGATGACAAATTGTCTTTATTCGACATTGAGGTGTATATGTCAGAGTGCATCCTTGTCGTTTGATAAGATGTGGATTAGAGGGTCAAGCGGAAATTATTAAAAATCACAAAATGAAAGTGAGAAGCAATATGACAGTCTTATTGATGACGAAAATACGCGAGATTTGCTGGCAGAACTAGATGATAGACAAACATCCCAGAAATCAGATGAGGACATAGACCTGCTGGTAGATGAAGGTGTGAGACAACAACAAGATAATGTTAACATTGTCCCAGTTGAACAATTTGATAGTTGAAGAAAGACATCACATAAATACGACCAAAGAAGAGTATTCCAAAAATGTTGGTGACAAAATAAAATTCCAATTGCCTGGTAATCCTAGGTGGGCAAAAGCCAAAGTGCTCAGTCATGGTGGAAAAAAAACTGGGAAGAATTCACCATCTGGTATGGACTTTAATAAAGACGTTCAGAACTGGCATTTAAGTGAAAATACTAATTAAGTGCATTCAGTCTTTGTTCCAAGTGCTAGACATAGTGAGGGTGAGTTATTTTTAACTTGAATGAAAACAATTTTGCTGCTCGTTATATTATTGGATATTCAGTTTTTAGAAGGGTAATGTGGCTGCAATACAAAACAAGAAGTATCTTTTAAAAGATACTCTGTCGAAGTAAACCTGGTTAACATGCAAAATTATGCTTTTTCTAAGTTTCCAATATAAAAAAGAAATGTTAGCAATGCCTGCATAGCAATTACAAAATTATTATTTCTTGTAGCTAAGAAAATACCCATTTTGTAAACATTGAAATTAAATTATAGCAAATTGATATTGATGATTTTTCAAAGAAGGACAACTTGTATTTAAGATATCCCTTTAACTTGTTTTAGGTTTGACTTTTAAATTTTGTAATAAATTATTTATAAATTAACCAAAACGTTAAGAACTATCCTCGTTTCTATACAAAAATACAAAAATATTTTAGAACTCTCATTTACATTTTATTTTATAGTGACAAAACCTATTCCTGACATCATTTTAGAGATATCCTTAAAATTGTATCTTACAAGGGTAAGAACTATTCTTAACAATTATTTTAAAAATGAGCAATGAAATTCACAGATTTCAGTTTGTAATTCTTAACTGACCAATGAAAAGTATTTTCACATTCAGTCCTTCCCTGTTTATTTTACAGGAAGTCAAACTGATAACAGACGGACTTCGTCCTAAAAATGATTTGGTAATTACTTGGATGTTTTTTTTTTGGATAAAAATTGCGGTTTCAATCAGTCTATAAAAGTACATGTTCTTGTGTCTGTTACTGCGCTGATTTTATTGTATTCATTTTCTTAATAATCGGTGGGAACAGATGAGCTTATTATTTAAACTTAAATTCGGTATTTGAAATGAAATATTATTCCTCTCTAAAATTAATTTTCAATTTCAAGAATTATATTATAAATGGTTAAGCTACAATATTATTTTGCAGAGTAGGTAAGTGTTTCGCACAGTCATTTAATGGTTATTGAACATACAGAATTATAGAATGTAATAGAATTATCTGCTAATTATTATACTGACCTGAAAACAATAATGGTCATCTCCTGGCTACGGTCAATGTCCCTCAGAAGTTACACGAACCTAGGCTTATTTCTTTTCAAATTATTAATGGGACAATGAGGAGGTTTCGTTCCTACAGACTTGGGACTGTGTTTTGCCCAGCAAGATGCTAGACTTTATGGTTTGCAAAACTGAAGAGCAAAACAGAAATCAGTTTGCGAAACACCTGTTTATTATCTGCATTATACAATATTGAAATAGTAAAATTGTGTCTTCAGTGCTATTTTCTATTACCAACATGCAGACTTGTTGTCTATGAAAATGTGGAATTGAATCATCGAACAAGATTAAACGTTACGTAAACATTTCCGTTTACATGCCAAACACACACACTTGAAAAAAATGCACGCCATAGTTTCTACTATATACATATAAGGAAAACCTATGACCCCGTGGCGGAGCCAATTTAGACCCCAGTGCTATAATTTGAACAATCTTGGTAGAGGTCTACTACACAAGTGAAGGTTTCATGCCAAATATCTAACGTGTAGCCTTTGTATATTAAGAGGAGAGGGTTTTTAAGTTTTTACTATATATGTATATAAGGAAAACATATGACACCATGGCGCCAATTTACTTTAGGCAACTTTTTAACAACTTTGGTAGAGGACCTTAAGGTGATATTATATATCAAGTACCTAAGCTCTTAGCCTTAAATCTTCAGACAAGTATAGTTTTTAAAAAGATTTTACTACATGTATATACATATAACGAAAACCTATATAAATGACCCCAGGGGCGAGATGCTAATTTTGACTCTAGGGCTATAAATTGAACAATCTTGGTAGAGTTTCGCTATACAATGTTTCATGATAAATGTAAAACCTCTAGCCATTGTCAATTCAGAAGCGAAAATTTTCAAGTTTATACTACATACATATAAGAAAAACCTAGGCGGGACCAATTTTGATCCCATGGGTAAAATGTGAACACTTTTGGTGAAGGTCTACCAGATAATGCCTTATGCAAAATATCTATGATCTAGGCCTTGTGGTATTCTTTGAACAACTTTGGAAACCCTTCACCCATGGAACAATCCTACCAAGTTTAATTGAAATTGGAAAATTAAGAAGTTGTACTTTTACAATGTCTTTTTGAAAATAAAGTCACATTATAGACACTAATTAATTTAATATTTAACAATATTAACTTAAAACATTATAAATCATGAATATATGCAGGAAATATTTCTTAATATCACAACTAGGGTGAGAAACAAATGCACCTTGACTAAGATTCTAACCAGATAACCTAAGAATAAATGTACCATACCTCAGCACTAACAAAATTGACATGAAGCTCCAACCTGGTTTGCCTTGAATACCATTCCACAACTCTATTTACTGACATATAAGGTTTCTTAATTACACATCTTCGTCCCTTATTATTAAACAGTTTATACTGTGACATCCCTACCATATTGGAATTTTGCCACAATACATTTCATGAGTGTAACATTTTGCGCCAAATATCACAAGATAATAAAA